GGTATTTTGAAATTTGACAGAAGTTTAAGAACAAGTGAAAAACAGCAAAAATGTAGTGAGGAAGCTTATATTTTGATTATCTTGTTTAACACTTAATTTGGTATTTCCTTTCTGGATTTGTCATTTAGTTAATTATTGAGATAGAGATTTTTTTATTAAAAAGTTTTTTTATTAAAAAGTTTTATTTAAAAGTTTTTTGTGAAACTGAAGGCATAGATTACAGAACTTCACATTTATACCTGAAGCTTCTTTTGCAACTTACCCTTGTGTCTGTGGAAGTACAGAATGTTACATTTAATTGGAAAACACAGTAGTCTTACTGCTGTCTCAGAGTAGCTTTTTGATTAACTTTAATTTGCAGGTTCTTGGTGAGATTCAGGAGATTGTGAAAACAGGCTTGTGGGTTGGCGACTGCTTTATTTACACCAGCTCTGTGAACAGACTCAACTACTACGTTGGAGGAGAAATTGTCACGATTGCCCATTTAGACAGGTAAGTTGCTGCATTAGATTGTAAGAAAGCCCTACATTTTTCAGTACAAGTTATGGCAAGGTAAATCCTCCACTTGCCCTGCTGTATTAATTTTGGTTACTTTATAATGCTAATGTTCTGAGGCAATTAATGTAATCTTGCATAGGATAACCACGCTTTCATGTAATGCTATTTATAGAGTAAAAGTTGATGCAAATATTCTTGCTACCATTGGATTTTTTTATGTAATACCTCATAGTAAACTTATCCAAGGTGAAAAATCTTTGTTTTGTTTCAGGACGATGTATCTTTTGGGGTATATTCCTAAGGACAACCGACTGTATTTGGGTGATAAAGAGCTAAACATTGTTAGCTACTCTTTGCTGGTCTCAGTGCTTGAATATCAAACTGCTGTGATGAGAAGAGACTTCGGTATGGCTGACAAAGTTCTTCCCACAATTCCAAAAGAGCAGAGAACCAGAGTTGCACATTTTCTTGAAAAACAGGCAAGAGAACTATTTCTTAGACATCAAAAAAGTAATCAGCTGATTATTTGTAATTGAATTTGCTACGTAAGAACTAAAAAAGCCACTAACTTCCTGTAAGTGAATCTTCTTAATCATCTGTATTTATTTGGAACACTGTAATCTTTTCTTTAGATGGCTTTTGTTAAGACTTCTAGGATGCTGTTTGACCTGATGGATTATTTTGATTATCTGTTTACTTCAGGGCTTCAAACAACAAGCTCTTGCAGTATCTACAGATCCAGAGCATCGTTTTGAACTTGCTCTTCAGCTGGGAGAATTAAAAATTGCTTATCAGCTTGCAGTAGAAGCAGAGGTAAACATACAATTTCTGGTGATTCGTAATAATTCTGATTATAAATCCTAGAGGCCCCGTAAGAAAAGGCAGTGTGAAGGTGCAGCACAGCTCTGTGAACACTGTAAATATGCCTCCAACTTCCTTACTGAAGTTTCTCTGCCTGAGCTGTGGGATGGGAACAGAAGCATGTTGTCTGCTTACCCCTGGGGAGTAAGACATTCCAACCAAGAACAAAGCCTTAATCTTCAGTGAGAAGTCCACAGAGAGAAGTGGCAGAACTGAAGCCTCTGGGCCTTTGTTCCAGCCTTGAAAAACTTGCATCATTTCTGATGTTCTAGGAAGACTGACAGGCAGTGATTTGTCCTACAGCTTTTTTTTATTATTATTTTATTATTAAGATAATTGGTCTTACTGTTCCTTTTGTAAAATAAGGAAGTGGTATGACTAAGTTAATGTTCCTCATTCAACAGGGAGAGCATAAAGCAATGTCCATGCTGTGTAGTGACAGCATGGCAGTGGTACGTGCAGAACAAACTGCAATAGTCATTGTATCTTAACGGTAAGACAAGTGCACTGATGGGATACAGTACCTTAATAGGTGAACTTAGAGCTTATGTTGAATGCTTTAAAAATCTTTAATGGTATTCAAAAACATGAGCTTTGGTTTTTTCTTTCTCCTCCCTCCTGTTGTGCTTTTTAGTCAGAACAGAAGTGGAAGCAACTTGCTGAACTTGCCATTAGTAAATGCCAGTTTGGCCTGGCCCAGGAGTGTCTCCACCATGCACAAGACTATGGAGGACTACTTCTACTGGCCACAGCCTCAGGAAACGCAAACATGGTGAATAAATTAGCTGAAGGAGCAGAAAAAGATGGCAAGAACAACGTTGCATTTATGAGCTACTTCCTGCAGGGAAAGTAAGTAGTGAGGAATTCAGATGGTCCTCGTTGGGCTTTCTGAAACACAAAGAACATCTGATCTCCAAATGGTAAACTACAGCTAACTTAATTTCAAGAGGAAAGACAGTAGCACGTACCCTTCAGAAAAACTGTTTGATGATGCCTACTTTTTAAAATCGGGCACTTCTAATTTACTGACATCACAGACTGAACAGCTATAATGCAAAAGTCTAACTTGAAAACTTATTGATAAAAATTCTATTTTAAAATCTGTTAGGCTTGACTCGTGTTTGGAACTCCTGATCAAAACCGGACGTCTCCCAGAAGCTGCTTTTCTTGCACGGACCTATTTGCCAAGCCAAGTTTCAAGGTAACATTAAAGTATATGCAAGTCCTAGTAGTACAGTCAAAACTGCCTTTATACAATGAATCTGATCTCTGTCTCCAGGGTTGTTAAACTGTGGCGGGAGAGTCTCTCTAAAGTTAACCAGAAAGCTGCTGAATCTCTTGCTGACCCTACAGAATATGAAAATCTTTTCCCTGGATTAAAGGAAGCTTTTGTTGCTGAAGAATATGTTAAACAAAGTCTTGCTGACCTGCGGCCCGCCAAGGAATACCCCCTTGTCACTGTAAGTAAGAAGTGAGAGTTCCTATTTTCTCTGAAAAATTCGAAGTTGTGCAAATTCTGCTGTAAGCAAGTCAATGAAATTACTTACTTAAACATTCCATTAACATGTCTGCACTTCCTATATTTTAGCCAAATGAAGAAAGAAACTTACTTGAAGAAGCAAAAGGCTTTGAACCATCGGGAGTAATGGCATCTCAGGTCAGTGTTACCACCAAATGACGAAGCCTAAGAAGTGCTTGTGTTGGAAGTTCTCCAGGGTGGATGTTACTGTACAGCTGTGATGATTGAACTGTTGCTCTTACTGGCTTGACTACTGCAGTTGAGTTCCACATTCTTCTGCCTCAGACTTCTAGACTAAAAAAGTAGACTAAAGAAGTCATTAGTAGTTACAGAATTATTTACTCCGTGTGGCTGCTTATGTTTTTGTTCTGCTACCATTTCACTCAAGTACGTGTGTGTAATCACAGTGCTGCCACTGAATTCATCCTGAAAAAAACTGCATATCAAAACCCTTACTGCCTCAACTGCTTCCAGCACTCTGAAAGCTCAGTAGTCGGACCTTGGAATCTCTTACATACCTCAGCAATTACAGATGCTTTATATTTGTTGCTATTGTGCATGGCTGAAGTAAGACTGCTTCGAAAGTTAGAGAGTAGGAGTTCAGATTGATTATTTGGAAATAGAATATTCTAAGTAGTGAAGTAGCTCAGACTGATGGTTTTATCACTCAAGTGAAAGTTTTCACCTTGTGAAAGTTATCTACATGTTAATTTACAATTATCTTGCATAGAAGCTATAAACAAGGCCTGCCATGTTCTTCAGTTGCACTTCAGTTTTAAGTTCTTTAAATTAATTGACACAGACTGAAGGCTGTTTTTTCTTTTTTCTAACAACTGCTTTGAATTAAATGGGGGCAACGGGGGGAAACAAACATGGTAGGCTCCTCTGGAGACCAGAAAACTTAATGGCTGTGAAGATGTGATTCTGGAATTACTGAGAGAAATTTTAGAAGACAGCCATCAAAGCTTGGGGGATGTGCAGAAGGGCTGTTGTTTGCTTAATTTTAACAAAAGTTATCTTTTTCATTAGAAAAAGACAGAAGAAGCAGTTCCATCTCCTAAACCAGAAGTGATGAATACAGTACTGCAGAATTCTGATCTGCTTCCACCACGAGATCAAAAGGTACTGGAATGTATCTTAGGAATGGAAGGAGTGTCATGGCTGAATGAAGAACTTAAGTATACCACATAATGTCACTTTTATCTTTATATGAACCACGCTCCTGAGACTTATTACACTGTGTGGATCTCTTCCTGTAGAGTGCAGAAACTGTACACAGTAATGTAGAACAATTCCTAACAGCCTTGTGGGCTTAAAAGGAAACAAGTGGAGTCACAACTCAGAACAAAATAACAAGTTCCAGTACTGCAAACTGCTTTCTTATTCAAGAAGGCATTTCTTTCTGGAGGTTATTGTAGGTCTTATGCACTACTTGACTGCCTTAATGTTGCTGAATGTTTCAGTACCTCGTATAGCATTATACAAACTACGCTGTCACAACAGCTGTCTAATGTGTCTCTCTGGACTTAATTCCCAGACACTTCTGGATTTGGAAGACGACCTCGATAACTTAGACCTGGAGGATATTGATACCACAGATATCAATCTGGATGAAGAGATCTTAGATGACTGAACAGAGTTCTGGATGACCAACTCAACTACTGCTTACTCCAAACAAAGGAATGAAGTTCTGTGGACTACATGCTCCACATTAACTCGATTTTTATACAGAAGATGGACCACGTAGATGCAGGGAGAGGGGCAAACCCTGCAACTGTAAAAGATTTGAGTATGTTGAAATTTAAGACATAGACCTGCTCTAAAGCATCGTGGAAGCATTTTCATTTAACATGCAGTTCAATAAATCCTTTTAAACATTCCATTCCTGTTCTCTCCTCTATTTCAAGAAGTAAATTGAATTACAGGCAAGTGTTTATTCAGCATCCATCACCTTGAAGTAGAAGAGAATGTGACAAGAGGGAGTTCACATATAGTTCTTCTGCAACTAAGCTGTCTCTCTAGCGAGTCCTATTATGTACCAAAACATGTTTTTAGCATGCACTGTTATCCAAGCTATTTATTGTGGAATCCTCTACAAAGAAAGTTCACAAACAGCTCAAAATAATGATAAACAATTGTTTATTTCATGAAGCTGTAGATGTAGCCATTGCTTCTTGGTATGCCTGGAGGGCCAATTGTATATAGCCTTCTTTCTGTGATTCAGTTTTCACAAAGACCTAGAAGCAAGGGGGGATGAAGATTAATGTACACTTAGGAGCAGAGTACACAGTGAGATTTCATCACTCCACTGGTTTGTCAGCCATTTCTTCTCCATCATTATGCTGTTTCATATATTTAAAAAAAATATGCAGCAGTTCTAGTTAATTACAGGAAGCTATTGACTAGGCTTCTGGTGTTCAAATGCGTTATCTTCTGTAGGTAACTGTGCTTAGAACAGGAAAGTGTACCTTGATCAGATCAATTCCATGAAGTTTCCCTTCTTTGGCTTCTTTTGCTGACTGACATTCGGGATGAAGCATGTGATACAGTGTGATTAAACTTGTGGCATCATCCAGCCTAAACAAATAAAAGTTCAGTTGTAGCTATGACTGTTTCTAAATAATTTGAGTGTGCTTGCACACCACGGGCCTTCATATACTTTCACCTCATATACACAGTCATTAGAAGAGAGAGCTAACAAGGCAGCCCATAATTTACTGTAATAGCACCTTGTTCCTGAGAAGACAGACCAGAAGCACATGCAGCAATTAACAGACAGAAACTGACTCATACTGCAGTTTAAGCCTGATCTACTACTGTTCAGGAGCCATAAAGCTGAAAGCCTTACAAGGAACTGTACATAAAACATAAAATTAAGCAACTACAAGAGGTTAATTTCTGCAGACACCTACTTTGGTACCCTAACACTTTGACTGCAATGTAGCTGGTACTTCCATTCAGAATCTAGGTAGCGAGAAATTACAGCTAGTCTAAAATATCATGCAAATGGAAGCTTTCAGACATCTTACAGAAATGCCATTTTTCTTTTCAAACAACAGGCCTTTACGTTTTCTATTTGTCTATAAACAGAATAAATGACAAACACCACTTACAAGTCTCTGTTGATCATATCTATCAGCAAGCCATCCGTTTTCTTTCTGTTTACCAGGTACCACACCATGCCTCCAAAGTGCCTTGTTGAGCGGAGCAGATCGTATTTTGCATGTTTCTCAATGTCATCATATGTTCGATGATGAACCTGGACACAGAAAAGAATTCAGTTTCAATAGCATAGGCAGAGCTTCATGACAGTTCCTCCTCTTTACCTTTCACGTAGATTCTTTGGATCCATTTTTAGGCCTCTCTAAACTGTGGCACTAAGCCACAAGTTCAGCTGTGCTACTTTAAAGCTTTACACCTGTTTTAATTTGGGGTAACACTGGGACAATCCAGTTCTTAGAACTCATACATAGATGTGTGTTAAGAAAAAACTAAATGCAACCCACACACTGGCAATTTGGGGAGGGAGGGACATGAACTCTGAACCTTCATTGCACTGCCCTCAAGTTACAATCTATTTTTCCATGAAGTCAAAGCAAAGAGTTGCTAATGGAGAAAGTTGAAGAAGTTACTTGAAACACTGATTAATGGAAGTTCTGCTCACAGTGATTCAGGAAATTAGTTAACATTAAATAGGTACAATAGAAAAACTTTCTAACAACATAACAATTGATATCTTCATTAGTACTTACAGTTACTAAATTGACACCCTTCAGCTGGAAGTGTATTTTTGTACCCAGTTTTTCTCACAAGCATTAGTTTATTTTGTGCACGGTGCTCTCAGATGCATCAGATATCTACCTGATCTTTTCAAATCCTAGCATAGTAGTCAAGACAACTCAAGCAGCACAATTGGAGCCAGTTACAGTTACTATCAGTTCTGGTTGGATACCAGAAGACTATTTTCTGCATCTGTACTTCTTTCTTATATGGTTGGAAAATATTTAAATGGGTCACTTTTCTGAAAAAAATAAAATAAAATAAAAAATAGAAAGCTCATGGCAAAGATAGCAAGTAATCCATGGGAACAGGGGGGAAGAACATACCTGAACAACTCTGATACCCAGACAATATTTATGCTTACAAAATAAACCTTGAAACTTCTTCCCTAATGCTTTTTTACTTTAAAAAAAGTGAACTTACTCTGATATAGTCAGCTGAATCTGGCTCAAACTGAGCAATGCACATGTTAAGAATATCTTCATGACGGTCTTGCTGAAACACAGTCTGAAACAGTTTAAATTCAGGTATAGGTCACATATCACACAATTGCAACTATCCAAAATTTAAATGGCAGTGAAAACATTCCTCTTCTGGGCAACACAGCACAGGTAACCATTACACGTGTACGTACAGTACGACAGAATATTTACATTACCCAGTATTTATCTGGTTGCAACTCGGAATTTTATTTTAAGCAATTTAAGCAAGTTACACTGGTAAGCAATTGTTCAAGAAGATTAAAACCTACCAACCAACTGGCTTATTCAGAGCCACTACTCTGTCCAAACAGCACAGCTTCACTGTCACAGCGTGGTCGAGAAAATAAAAACCATCTGTTTTTTCAATCCCAGTTCTTACCCCGAGGTGTTCGTCCTTAAATAACACTGGGGGAGTAACTCTGCGCCCTTCTTTGGGGAAGAAGATCTGTATCATGCGGTCTCGCTCTTCCCAGGTTGCCTTACGTAATACACCGTTTGGTTCTCTAACGACAATGAAACGTTCCTGAAAAGAAGATCAGAAAGAGCATTATCTCCCACAGCATTCTCTACCTAAGCAGGATCACTGTAAACAAGATTCCTGTTTGACTGTGTGCTCCAATGCCAAAACCATGCTAGTATTACAGTGTCTTTTTGACTGCTAGTATGCATAGAATTATTTATCCCTTTATAAATTATACATTTACACCTTAATCTGACAGTAGAACGCAACACTATATGCACTTATACTGCAAAATGTAACGAACAACATAACTAAACCCAGAGAAAGGAATTAGCACTGCTGCTGGCCCGACTTGACACATTCAACACATGCTAAATTAACAGTGCATGTATTTTCCATTATAAAGCTCTGGGATATAATTTATCATCAACAGACAGAAGTCAACAACTGAAACGCCTCTGTATTTCTGCACTAAAGCCCAAATTCACAGCTGCTCGGCTCTTAAATTAATGGATTGTCACTTACACGATGCGGAGTGGCATAAGTTAAATCTGTAAACACGTATTTCGCAGTTTCAGTTCCCTCGAGGACTTTGTCGTCTGCTAACACATCATCAATGGGCTCTCGTTCGTCCAGCACTGGCGGCATTCTCAGCTTTTCTTTGGCCTCCTCAATGGCTTTTCTCGTGGCCTTCGGGTAAGAGTTTAATTGATTTCGCAATTAGAAGTTAGAAAGGCGGGAGCGGCGGCACCGGCAGCGTACAGTGGGCGGCTCCGCACCGTACCGCAGCGCAACGCAACGCAACGCACCTCCTGCAGCTGAGCCTCCGTCAGCAGCCGGTACTTGGGCGGCTTCAGCTCCTGCCGAACCGGACGGAAAACCTTCTGCAGGTTCAGCCCCGTCATCCTGTACAGCAAATCCTGAACCGCTTCATCCGTAAAAGCAGGCTTCGCCTCCCTTTTTTCTGCCGGAGGATTTTACACGCAATGAAAGGGCCGCGCGGGGACGGCCGCACACCCGCCCTCTGTGACCGCCCCCGGCCCGCTTCCCTCTTCCTCAGCCACCCGGGCAGCGCCGCACACGCGCTCCGCGAAGGGCAGGAAAGGCGGAGAAGGCGCTCCCGCCACCTCCCGCTCGCGCACCGCCCGCTCACGCACCGCCCGCGGGCCCCGCGTCCTGCACGAGCCCCCGCTGCACGCGCCATCCCCACAGCGCCCGCGCCACGCGCGAGAGCCGCACGGGCGGCACAGCAGCACCCTTCGCTGCGAGCGCCGCCATCTTGCTCGCGCCCCGCCCCGCCCCGCCGCCGACGCGAGCGCTGCATCGCTCCTGAGGCACGTCGGGAAATGGAGTGCGCGGTGTTTCCGACTGCCGCTCCTCATGCCGAGAATCTCCCTCGGTCAGAAAGCCGCTCTCAGTGCGTTCGTGTGAACGCTTCGGAGGCGGGAATCCGAACTGAGGTGGAAGTGCGAGTCGGCATTCCTGTCAGAGCGGGGGCGTTGGGCGGGAATGGCGCGAAGCAGGGCTGCGGGCCGACAGGTGTCCGCTCGGCTGCGACACGGAGCAGCAGGACCTGGAGCTGAGCGCGCGTTGTCTGTTCCCGCCGCCAAACCGCGGCGTTCCCCCAGTCAGCCAGAAGGCGGCGGGCGGCACCTGGCAGAAGGAGTAATGCTGGGGTGATTGACCCGAAATGAAGAACGTCCTGTGGCTCTCTGATAATCCGGCGCTTACGGGATGACAGATTTTCCGTGCGACCCGTAAATTGGAATAAGTCCAAAGGACACCACGAGTGCTCTTGCCTGAGGAGCGGCACTGCGCCGTGCATCCTTCTCAGGTCGGTGAGAGGTCACTGCCGGCTGTAGCTGCCCTTGTGGGGAACTTCGGTGTCTTGGTGCGGGGGGAAATAAATAGCTCACTGCAAGACAGACATTGAGTGCTGCTGTGTGCCCAGAGGGCAGCGGACCCGTGAGGGGTCTGGGGCACAAAGTGTGATGGAGAGCAGCTGAGGGAACTGGGGTGGGTCGGTCTGGAGAAGAAGAGGCTCAGGGGAAACCTCCCTGCTCTGCAACTCACTGACAGGAGGCTGTGGTGAAGTGGGGGTTGGCTTCTGCTCCCAGGTTAACAGCAATGAGATGAGAGTTGATGGCCTTGAGTTGCACCATGGGAGGGTCAGGTTGGAATTTAAGAAGAATTTCTTCTCAGAAAGAGCAGGGAGGCACTGCTCAGCTGCACAGGGCAGTGGGGCAGTCACCATGCCTGGAGGTGTGCAGAGCTGTGGAGATGTGGCACTGAGGGACATGGGCATGGTGGGCTGGGGTTGGACTTGGAGATTTCGGGTCTTTTCCAACCTTAATGATTCTGTGACTTTGTTAATATAGTAGCTCAGTTGTAGCTGAGTATATTTCAGTAGGCATTACTTAGTTAACTTGCTAGTTAGTCTGTACCTTCTGCTGAGCGTCAGCCTGTGGTCAGGGATGTGTGAATCAAAGAAAATGTATTTTTTTACTTACTTTACTTACTTGAGAAGGGCCCTGAATGATGTGGATTGTAAAATGCTCAAAGCCACAAGGTGATGCAATCTGCTTGACAACTGTCAAACTGGGAAATATTTCATCTCCTGGAGGCAAGATCTCAAAACAAAAGCAGTGTGCTTAAATATGCTTCCAATTGTTTTAAAGTTTAGTAGGCTGACAGCTGCTGTGCCAAATCAGTCTAAATTGTGTTACACTTGAAAATGGAAATTAAAGTCTTAGGGAAAACAAAGACTGTATAGCATGTATTGGTTTTAGTCAGGCTAAGCATCTGTTTAAGTACGTATTTGTTTGTAATAATAGATCTTCGTTGTACTGGGCAGCTTTCTTATTTTACCTAGCTTTATTCAATACTGAAACACAGGTATTGAGTTGAATTTTGTGTTCAAGCTTTGTCCTTCAATATCGTGACCTTTGCATTGTCAGAAAGGTCATAGGAAGGCATATTCTTCTCATATTTATATTGGTACAATCAAGTTGAAATCGCTGAGAACTAGAGCACAAATTAATGCATAATATTATTTTAATGTGATTTTGTGCTTAATTTATTTAAATAATGCCAAGAAAATTAAAAACAATGTTGAGGAAATTGAGAAGATGTTGTTTTTCAGCTCTTGCTTGGAAGACCTCTGGAGTGAGAGCTATACCCTATAAGGGAATTGGGAAGTTATTTGGCGACTTGCCTAAAAGCCACTTCAGACCTGTTCATGAATTTGGATGGCAAGCCAACGTCCATTTTAATTCACAGAAGTGCTTAGAAAAACAACAGAATTTATTAGACTATATCCAGGAGAGGTTAAATTCACATTCGTTCTGTACTGGAGTAGTAACAGCTGCTGTGAGGATTAGCCTTTTGGCTGGCAGGATGAAAGGAAATATTAACTAACAGTGCTGGAGATAGAAGTAGAGCAGGTTAATGTGTTTTATAAAAGAATATGAATTTATGTTGGATAGGTTGGTTATATTTTATGTATGGTTTATTGCCATACAGAAGTAACAACTTTAAGTGGGATGTTTTTTATTGGTATACTTACAAATACAAAACCAGCTTGAAAAATTGGTGGTGTAATTATTGATAATGAAATAAAGAATCTCTTAGCTTCAGTTACTATTTTGAATGCATCCCAGGACAATTGATGTTGGAAAATTACAACCATCTGATGAGGGGTGGATGTCCCCTGTGAAACACATTGGTGGTCTGTCTGGATTCTATTGGAAAAGTTTCAATACAAAATCACCTCCACAGTTGGCATTAATTTCCTTTTTGTTGGTAGTTTCAAGGGAGCAAAAGGATCAGATGGCCTCCGACGCTGAACCACTTCGGTTAAGATCTCAGGGAGAAGGAAAGCAAATGGGGAGCCTAGGAGCTCGCATTGTTGCTTTTCCATTTAATAAATAAAATAAGGGACTGTGGCTGCCAGCTTTTCTGAATAGTAATTATGTTAAAATTGTGGTAGCAAGTTGTTAGGAAGGAAGAATTCTCTGTTGGAAAAACACAAAAAGACAAAATGTGAGGTTTGGGAACTGAGCATCCCATTGCTGTAAGAAGAAACAGACTGAGCCCAGTCAGAGTGTCTGCATGTCCACAGCTGATGACATGACCTTTTTAAAATTAATGGTTGGTTCTCTTGTTCCTGATAAGAAAGAATCTGGCAATCCTGTGAAACATTTTTCTGAGGGACACAATGGACCAGGTTGGAATCTGTATTCACTAAATCTGCATGGATTAAACTGAAGAGAAGTTATTTTTTCACAGAGAAGGCAGAGATTGTGAAAGTAACAGAAATGACACAAACCTTAGTCTATTGTCAGACAAGTAACTAAATGAGTAACATGTTATGTGTGGTTTGTTTTGGTTCCCTAACCCTAGATGGAGTGATTTATTTCCTTGCTGTAATCATTGGGTGGTAGTAATACTATTGTCTGTTTTCAGGCATATTATCTGCAAGTTTCTTTTCTTCAGGAGATAAAGTAGTATTTTCTCTGGAATTGTCCTTTAAGCTCTGTAGCCATGAGCTTGTCTTGCCATCCAAAGCCATTGGTAGCTGTCCCCCCCCAGCTTCCACCAGAATCCCTTTATTTTGATGGCGGTGATGACAATGGCGATGATGCATGAGCCTTTGCTAATACATCAAAGGGGCCAGTTTCCATCTACAGACCATACAGGTATTTGAAGCTGTTTTATTTTGAGATTTCATTTTGATCCGTGGCAGCAGGGACAGAAGATGGCATACTGAGCCACTGGGCCAAAGTGAGCTGTGAGTGCGGAGCTGTGGGCAGTTGTGCTGGACAAAGCCATCTAGCAAAGCACAGCTGAGATCCGCCCAGAAAATGGCGTAACTGAGGTCAGCCATAGCCATTATCATCCTGCATCAACAGCTGGCTTCTGTCACATATGCAAAAACCCATGGTGAGAGGGAATGGGGGAAACTTTATGAATGCAAAAGTCTGACAAATGCTTTCCTTCACCATTGTCAGTTTAACAAGTGCTAACAATATGTATAGCTTGAAGAGCAAATATCCTAGATTTTGGGTTTTTTTTTATTTTGTACCTTGACTATTTGTCATTTTAATTTCAAATTTGAAGGGAAAATTACAAAACCAAGGAGTACTTTTGATTGCATGTACTCTTTACAGGTTAGTTACAGATGAATTTACAGAGCCTGCTTGCTATATTTTCCTGGGCCACGTGGGGGCAAGATTGAGATTTTAAACATTACGAATGAAAGTCCCAGAGTACTTACAGAGGATAATGTAAATGACCTAGATTTGCCTGTGTCTCACATAAAGCTGCTATAATCTCTCTTTAATAATGATAAATTGGATATATACAAATACTGCCTCCAGTAATTGAGATTACATTATTTATGGTAGGGATATAAATCCCACTTTGGTTTATATAGTTTTCTTTGCTACACTATAATGGCTTGAGCCAAAGCCTATTAAAGCCATTGGAAGTCCTTCTCTGACTTCAGTGAGCTCAGAACTAAGCCCATATTTTTCAATAAATTCCATTCTTCTGTTCTGCTTCTGTACTGCTTATCTTTTAAATACAAATTGTTTGAGGGGAACAATAGTAAATATTTGGTATTATTCAGAGTCTGGTAGTTGTTGTTTTCCCCCTTCTTAATCAATATTTAACCTCTTTCTCATTCCGTTTCTGTTTAAAGTCCTGTCCCTTTGAATCCGAGTGCCCCGCAGGGCGCTGTGAACTAAACCTGGGCATAACAAGCTGTTATGTGTCCTGCTTATAAACTGGTCTAATACCTGTTCAGTGCTAACTGCATTTTTTCTTCCATCCTTTTCTAGTAATAACTGATTTTATTGACACAGCCACCTCGTTCTTCAGTTCTTTCAGTAGGAGGTGAATGCATTTCTCTGCCGATGAATTGTTACTCTTCCGGAATTATTTTTTTTCTCAAGACTGATTTGATCCCTTTCAACATTTTTTGTTCATTTTTAGATAAAAGAGCTCTTATCTCTTGTTGTTTTAAGCCTTGTTGTTGCTTAGTGATGCCAAGAAACCACTCCTGCTGTTGTGACAATCCCTCTTTGTGTTCTTTTTGCCTCTGATATTCCGGCTCTGAGGTTCCTTCACAAGTTTCCTTCTGTTGCATGTAATGATTTTTCTTCAAATCTCCATTTTGTTTTTGTTATATTGCCCCTAAACTTTCCTGTTTTCATCTTACATTGCTTTGAATTTCTTACCATTTGTTTTACCACCTTGTTTTCTCTTTCTTAATTCCCAAAATTAATTGTTCATAGAAATGCTCTCCTGTACTTTGCTACTTAATGATATGCAACTTATTATTTTTGTTGCTTTGGTGTTTGCAAGAGCAACGCATTCTTTTCCTCTCTATGATGTTTAAATTGTCTTCACGATAGGAAAAATTTTTAACCATTTTTTTTATCCACACCAGATTAAAAGACAGTTATGTTATTAAAATAAAATACTACATTTTCTAAAGGTGTTGCTGGAGGGTTTATTGTTCCTTTTTTTCCCCTTTCTTTTGGATCCAGAATTTAATACAAATTAAATTTGCTTAGGCAAATGCACGGTGCATTTAAAAAAAGTCATTATAAAGACAGGATCCTGGGGGTCTGACAGAAAAGCTAAAACAGCTGTGCTCTGCAGCACAAACAACACATAAATCTACAGTATCTTCTCTTTGTGATCAAATAAATGAAAGAGGCTCAGAAAGTAAACGATGTTTTGATCTCAGAGAAGCAGATCTAAAAGCATCAGTTTAAATCTCAGCCACTTCTGCGTGAGTCTGTTAAAATCAAACATTTTTTCGTTTTGTTTTAAGCAGAAGTATTTTGATTTATCAAACTAACAACTCTACCTGCTTGATTTGCAGGTTGTAGTTAGGCCCAGATGAAATGGTTTTTTAGTTGCTTAATGAAGAGTGTGTCTCACAAGAACAGTTTTCAGTTGCATTTACTCTTGTTACTTTCTGCCAAAGCAAATCAGTAAAATCCTAGAGACAAAAATAGCCATAAAATTAATATAGTCCAATAGTTCTTACACTGTTTTCCCTGTGTATTTCCAAGTAGACCTGTTGACTTTTACTAGGTTGCCCAATAAGGTGAACAGGAAGACTCACATCCATTTTTGGACAAACACTCTGGGTACAGTACCAGATGTCACTAGCTGACTTCCAGAGCAGTGTGGACAAAAATGATTGACTGGGTGCTACATCTGCTTAAGTGTGGGGGGAAATATGAGTGTTCTTTATGAAGTATTTTAAAGCTGCATGGTGAGTAAGTTACTGCATTTGTTCTTCACAAAATGTACAAATGACAAACTGTGGAGACCAAAAGAAAGGATAGAAACCTGTACCATTTTTCTGGCTGATCTGTTCATTATTGGTTTGCTTCCCTGTTTGTTTGCCATGCCATTCTGTAACACATGATATGATCGTTAACATATGTCAGTGTTTGTGCACGTAGACTAAAGTACTTAGATCTTTTTGAAGGCACACAGTACATATCTAAATAATCTGTCGAGATCTGGTAGTGGCTTTAGAAAATGTTTCACAGGGAGAATAAAGAAAAGCAGCAGACGGTCTCTCATGCCAGGAGAAATATTAGTGACAGGAACGTGTGAGGCACAGGCCTAATTGTGTCCCACGTGCTGTATGCAGATTGCACCCATTTGTCAAGTGGGAGAGTGGACAGTACACAAAATCAAGGCACTGAATCATTTTCCTCATTGGAAGAGCAATCTTACAGCAAACAAGTAGACTGAAAATTAGGATAATAAAGTGAAACTGTTCAAAGTCCAAATATTTGTGCCTGGTCAGATCATTTTTTTTCTATAACTCCACAGTAAAAGGCAAATATCATGGTCCTCCCTTCATTCACCGTATTTTGAGCTGCCTGATTCTGATTTCATTCCTTATATCCTCCAGCACAGATCATATTTTTTTCATAAACTCCTTCATCTTATTATTCAAGTAGAAACAATGAATAATTTTCTTTCAGGTTATTGAGCTGAATGAAGTCACAGAGGGGTCTAATGAATGCCAGAGCCTCTGAGAAGAAAAGAATGGAAGCTGAATCTTCTCATTTCATTAGCAGCAAGTCTCCAGATGGTGTCATGGTGTTTCAGGTAACTATAGCCTCAAGATGCAGTTTTACAACCAGCTAAAGTTGATCTAAGACCGTTCTGCTCCTTCTGTTCAAGCATCCACTTGGGTTGTTTTGCTTGCTTGAAACATTTTGTTCTTCGTGATAGCCACTAAACAGACTCTAATTTTCTCCTGAATTTTGAATAAAAGCACAATAGCTCAGACCACACAAATTTAGGATCTGAGTTGGAAAGGTAGCTTTGACACTGCGTGAAAAAGCAAACCAGATTCTGTTCCCTTTGTGTCTCTGCAACAGTAGGAAGATTTCCTAAACCTTACAAGGTATTACTGAGATGCACCCAGTCCACATGGTGTTTTATGATAGAATGCTGCAGCACTGAGATCACTTGGTTTTTCTGTGTGTTCCAGTACAGTAGAATTAATGTCCAAGTACCATTTCCTTTGTAAGCAGGCAGCAGAATTTTTGACTGATACTTACAAATTAATTAAGCTGTTGCTTGGATGGTTTTGTTTAGACCCAAAACCAAAATTACAATCTGAGTGCTGAGGCTGCAGAAGATTAGGTCTGATCCTATGAAGAACAGAGCAATGTGGCATCATTACTGTTTAGTTTTGGAAATTGTGTCCAGAACTGTGCATTTGCTTTGCATGTTTGAACACTGAGGATAAAATATTTGCCATTAGAGCAAGGCATCTTTTAATTAACTCTTTGTTTCTGCCTTTCCTCTCATGCTTCTTGTGGTATAGAGGATCAAACTTCCTCTAAGTGCTGGTACAATGTCTGATTCTGTGCAATATGCTATATGCTGTAAATGTGATTATATCTCCCATTTACTGATGGCTAAATGGTGCTTACTTTGCAGTCACTCTCTTGATTTCTCTTTAAAAATTTCCAAATTGCTACTCAAAAAAAAAAAAAAAAAAAAAAAAAAAAAAAAAAAGGTTAGTGTCTGCATTGTCAACAATTAGATACGATTTTCTTATATTGTAATACTGTATTTGTGAAAATCAAAGCTAAACAGTGCTTGTTACTGTGAAGTAATTTGGGATATCCTTTCGAAGTTTTCAACATTGCTCCCTGTGTGGCCGCAGAGCAGCAGGTGGCAGTGTGGGGCTTTGGGTCAAGCATAAGAATGAGCAGCAAACACATGAAAGACTCTGCATCTTTGAAAAATACTTGTAAAATGTTTGTCCCTTTAATATGAAAACAATTAAAAAGTGTAAATGTTCGATGTTTACACTCTGAAAGAATTTCATACTTTCTTTTTCCTGCATAGTGATTAAATGGGGAATATTTCTTAAAATTAGATTGGCGAGTAAAACTTTTGCTCATTTTTTCATCCACTGTAAAGCTCTCCAATCGATTGCTCAATCAAAAGGAAGAATGTTCAGTTCTTGATATCATGAGCCTGCTCCTTAATATAGAACAAGAAGGAAGGAAGGATAACTAGCTTGTTGCCCTCTTCTGTCTCCTCGAAAAACCTTTATCTCCAGTCCAGTGGCATTGATGAGATTGGACTTTTTAACTATTCACTACAAGCAGAAGGTTGCTGAGTAGCAACAACCACCCTATACCCTTATTTTTAGCTAGAGAAACATCTTGTAGACAGCCAGTGCAAGAGTTGTTCCATTTTCAATATTTAACTGGTTTTGTGTTACTTCAAAAAAATGCTTTCAAAACAACCTATCTTACACAAATAAAGTGTATGTCAAAGGGCTGATCCTGCTAGAGTCTTCAAGAAAAAATATCAAATTTTTGTATTGTGGTACTGAAGTTAAATTTCCTGTACTATGTTATTTTTCTGTGCAGTATCCTATGCCTGTCTCACGGCTTTGGGTCTCTCTTCCCCAGTCTGTGTGCATCATTTCTTAACGAGGCAAATGCAACCCGTAGCTAGGAAGTGAGTTCTGCCAATAACTGCCACTGACATCTTGATGACTCTGGATCATTTTACCATTTTGTGTTTCCTAATTCCTTTTGATTTAAAATGGAGATTGATTGTATGGATAGAAAAAAGAAAAAAGAAAAAAAAAATGTTATTGTATATATTCTTACTTTAATTTTAGTTAGGGCTAACGAATATTTACTTCATAAATGATTAAAGTGTTCTATGTACCATGTCAGGCATGCTTTTGATAAAATGCTATTTTAATTTCTAGTAGAATCTGTCATTAACTGTGCAATATCTTTTCATTTTTTTCCAGATACCCCTACTTCTAAAAAATATTTTTTAAAAAATATGTGCTTCTTTATCCAGCACATACAGTTCTGTCATATGCTTAGTAAGGCTTAATTGTCTCACCTTTCAGAGATGCCAGCAGAAATAATTTTTAGAAGAATGAGATGATGATAAGACTTTAACGTGTCTCTGTTTGGCTTTGCATGCAGGTTATTATTGCTGTATAAACAAGGGAGATTTTTAATGGTGAAGGCTCATCGAGAATGTTACAGATGGAAATTGTTCCTAAGAGCAGAGAACATTATTCCTTCTGACCACTGGTGTTTTCTTGGTAGGGCAGAAGGTAGATGTGCCTGGGCTTCTCAGGGCAGGGTAATTAAGGAGCTGTTCGATATTATTTTTCAGTGAAACTAACTGAAGGGCTGTACACAGCTTGTAGCTCCTGTTGGGTCATAGAACTCAGCAGAGTAGGATAAATGTAGTGCTAATTCTCTCTCTTATTATAGGAAACGCTGCTTTCTGTACTGAAAAGGAGAGGCATAGCAAAAAACTGGGTTGGTTTTCTTTTCTAAGTTTCTACCAATTATATTTTCCATCCCACTTCAACATCCAGTACTGTCTTGTGTCAAACACCAACAGTCTTCCAGTTTGGAAATATGTCCATTTAGGGAGGGATAAGGTATTCTTCATGGGAAGAGTAACGTGTTTAAGACCAATATTAATGACCTTTCTCATCCCTCGTTTCTTTTTTCCTATTGAGTCTTCTGCTCCTTGTTCCCAACAAAAAAAGCCCCTTGTGGGGGCTTTTTTAATGACATTTTTGATCCCTCATGCCCATCCTTTTCTCCATCCATTCTCTTTTTCTCTCTCCTTCTTCCTTTCCTTATAGAATGGCATTACCCTTGTGGCAGTTAGTTTTGCTTGGTTGGGTCGACATCTGTCTCCACGGAAAATATTTTCTTTGGGTACTTACATCCGTGGTGTATACATATGAACTGTTACCTCTAGAGGCCATCATCCTTTGTTTTTTTTTAAATGTGGAACACAAACAACAAAAGTATTTTCTCAGTGGAGACGAAATCTGGGGCTTTTTATAGTTTGCAAACTGATTAGCTGTAAAATTAAAACTGAACGCTTTGGAGAGCAGCACTAAGTAAAACAAATATCACCAGTCAATCATGAATGAATTTTCCTCAGGTTTGAACTTATTGTTTGCCTTTCAATAATTCAAATAAAACTTGAATCCAAACAAGCCACAGAGCTGCCTCCATCTTCTTACAAAGCAACCAATCTCTTAAAACAACCAAATATAGATGATATGCTGATGCTAACCCCGAATTATGGTCCCCTTGTTCAGAAGACAAGGGTCTTTGTTTATCCCTCTGACAGGGGAGCAGCAGGGATATTCCTTGCTGGTTAGAAGGTGATGAGCTTCACCTACTGTGACCAACCGAGCCATCACTTCTTTCTGCAGCAGACCAGGCCATGGGAGAAACTCCAGTCTGCTGACTTTGCTGGGATAGGAGCACCCAGAGCCTGGCCAGGCTCTTTCATTGGTGCCAGCAATAGGAAAAGGGGCACTGGGCACAAACTGAAACATAGGAAGTTCCATCTGAACATGGGAAAGATCTTCTTCACTTGGGAGCGACAGAGCACTGGAACAAGCTGTCCAGAGAGGTTGTGCAGTCTCATGCTCTGGAGATAGTCGAAACCCACCTGGATGCCGTGTAACCACTATAGGGAATCTGCTTTAGCAGGAGGTTGGGCTAGGTGATCTCCAGAGGTCCCTTCCAACCCTTGTGAGTCTGTGACCGAAACACATCCTTTCCTACAGTGCTTTCCTCATCCTTAGCACTGATAGGAAAGAGGATGCTAAACTAAAGGTTTTGTGTCTGAGGAGGTGTCTGTGCTTCAAGAGTTCCAGCACATGGGGAAAAGCCCTTCAAAACATCCTTTACAAATCAGAAATTTCATAGTAGCAAGATTGAATGCTCTCCAGTCCCCTACCTGTGCTTTCAATGAGAAAATTGCTAACAAATATCCATAGCCCCTCGCAGAAACAGGACATCCTGAGCTGTGGCAGATGGACTTGAAAAAATTTTAATGAAAGTTTTCAACAACAGCTCTGTGTGTGTGTTTGGGGCATTGAGCATGTGTGCTCTGTGTGCTCACACATACACAGACTGTGAACATAACATATACTATGAGGTGTGCATCTTTTGCTAGAAGAAATGTATTTTGTAAACAAAACAATACTAATTTTGTTCACCCTGTTGTGGCACAAGGCAGGATTAGGTAGAGAGAAAATTTCAGGATGTGAGTGACCACAGTTGGAGGTTTTACAGTGAGTGTTCAGTAAGATGTCCTTGGAACATAAAATTAAAATAAATGAAAAATAATCATAAGCCATGTAGTAGTGAATGTAAACAAATCTTGAAACTAAATAGGTAAAAAAAAATGCTCTGAGGAAACCGAAGGGCAATAATTAGAAAAGAATACTTATGCTTTCTCTCTTCCTAGAAAAGACAGATTAGAAATTGTGTAATTACCTGAATACATAGCAAAAATAACTACTGTAAAATACTCATGAAAGATGGCAAGCTTTTTTGAAGTTAATGGTATAGAATAATTTACTGTGGCTGAAGGCCTGTTTGATGATAATAAATATAAAGAAAATGTTAAATATATTTTTAAATATTTTATCAACTATCACATTTTAAAAAGAGCAGGAAACATATTTAAAAAAGCAAGAGAGTTACTGTACTGCAGCTGGAATAGTGTAGACAGGAACACTGTAATAGTGTAGATAGCAATAGTAAACCATATTATCCAATTATTGA